ACAGTCAATGACAGAACCGCCAAAGGAAACAACCAACCACAAACCAGTTCGTCGGGGCAAGCTACTAAATCACTCACGGAGAAATATTGACAGCTCACTTCATACTGAAGTTAGTGCTGAAGATGTCGTCTAGAAAGACGATGTAAGCTCCACAACTAAACAACTCAGCTCAGAGAACATGACGCAACGAAGACCCTAATAGCTATGCTAGGAAGACATACACTGTGATAGTAATTTGTCTACTGGGTTGATTGTTTCATCTTTCTAGTCTCTAGGGGAATAGAGTCTGCGATAGGGACACACTGAAATCCTGAGTACCTGGTTCACGAAAATATCCGCTAGCGAAGATAGCAATCTGGGGTGCAACTCTTCGGCGCCCGGGAATTTTTTAATTTGAAGATTGATAAGCAACTGGATGACTGTTTCCCGTTATGAACACCGTATCTATTGATGGAGCAGTGCTGACACCACTATTGAGTACTTGACCATCATGACCTACAGAGAACACTTTACTAAAGCAATCGGATACACATTCGGTTCTGGACACATTAAATTCCGCCAGGTCATCAGACTTTCCATTCGTCACTAGAGGGATGACTAGTTTTCGTTAAGTCCTAATGAATGAGAAGTATATTAAGACAGTTTTAGCAATCATTTACAAGTCGTCTTTCGTAAGACATTCGAGACCGTATGATTAATATTTGGCACAGATTATGGTATGCAACAGTCTTTAGGTCTCACGTCAGATGTATTGGCATTAACACTTACAATGTCATCATCCGACAGTGTTTTTTGACCAGTAACATTTTGACAGATCCCTGAATTAGGGTTGATAAAGGCTTACAGCAGCTTACTGTGACGTTTATGCACGCTTGACGTCAATCCGGTACAGACTTGGTGAAACCAACACATCCACATGTATCACATCGCTTACCTCTATCGACTGCGAATTTTTCGACCATAAACAAGACTGTAACTAACCATGTTATTTACCATTCAACTAAAGTTCCCAATAGGACTGTAATCCAGCTGAAGTATTCAGTCAAAATTAGGCCAGAAGGACCTAACTAGCGATAATACAGAAACTAACCTCAAGCCTCAAGAGAATAAAACCTTCAAACGCTGAATCAACTGCTTTCAGTAAAGGTTTATAATAAAGCCTTTGATGTGGATTGCAAAACAAAAACAATAGATATCAAAAGCGTGGAAAAACTGAGTTTGGGCGGGCTGTTTGGAAAGGGGAGTAACTTTTCACGTTCAGCTGGATTCTTGGCATTTTCTGTGTTTACACGTCAAAGGCTGTTGTATTTTTGCTCTAATAGGAATATTATTCAATTAAAGTGAAACAGGAACTTTTACTGGGTGAATTTCTGTAGTTTCTGCTTAATGATGAGCAAAAGTGTTGTAAAAATGCTTGCGGAAGGGTCGGGTGCCACTTCACTATGGTGTCTGGTATGCAGTGTAGCAAACGTAAGAGTTGCTCTCACAATAACTGCACAAGCCTCACACCCTCAGTATATAAGAGGTACAGCAACGCAGGAAGTATCTGGCTTTGTACGTTGTGCTGCTCGGATATCCGCACTCTGGTAGAAGAGGCAAAAACACTTCCAAATAAGATAACTAAAAAACTGTCGTCGAAAGTTAAAGCCGATAACTGGGACAGTGATAACGACACAGCATCCATTGACACAGACTACCTACTAGGTTTGCTGACAGCGACTTGGAAAAAACTACGCCAAGCAGGGTGAAGCGAGCATCTTCTAGATCTCTCATTCCTAGAGCTGGCAGATCCAGTCTGAAAACTGCTGACCGTAAGACTAGGTCTATTTCAGACGAAAGAAACAGGAGTGAAGCACTCTCAGTGTTAACAACGGGATCATGCAGGCCATAAACAGTTCGGCGACTCAATCGTTGACAAGAACTAAACAGAATGGGATGCAAGTTCGTTCTGAGGCTCTCAGTGTCAAGGTCAATGGACTAGGCCTTAGTAAACTTTGCATGCCCGACTCTGAAAAGTGGCAAGTAAGTAACCCTAAACGGCATGCTAAGAAGCCAATAACGGTCATCGAACCAGCTATCATCACTCTACAGAGAAAAGAAAAAGTAGAGATCCTTGACAAGTCTGTAATCTTCCACAGAGTAGAAGAAAGTAGAGACCCGGAACCACGCAAACGTTTCGAACATGACCTGAGCAAGGTACTAAGTTTGATAAGCCAGTTTTTGCCGTAAAATATGCCAGGAGTCACCCTACTCAAGATATATAGAGTAGGCAGACAGGAGACAGTCATTAATGAAAACAAGTTTCAGCTACTTAAAGTCGTGTTCAAGTCAGCAGATGAGAGGGATCATATTCTGAAGAATGCTTATAGACTTCAAGGATCTGGAGTGTTCGTGCGAAACGATCTGGCTCTTGCTGATCGAATCATAGGCGAGAAGTATAAGCAGAACTAGAATCCAGATTAGCAGCTGGACAGCAAGATCTGGAAGTAGTGGGTTTTCGTGTATTGAGGTTTTGGCAACAAATGATGCCGAAGCCTCTATGGAGAAAACGGAAACTTAGTTAAGTAGTGTTACCGTCTTGTACACAAATGCACATAGCCTCTTAAACAAATAGACCAAACTCAGTAACGTGATAAGGATAGAAAGTCCAGACATCATTCGTATCTCAGAAACTTGGCTCTTTTTTGGATCAGCGATTGTAAAACACACTTACGAAGATTCGACTCTTTTAGAAGTGTCAGGTTAGCATGCAAAGGTGGTGGTGTCATTTTTTACGTTAAGAATACCTTAGTTGTAAAAGCCATAGAAACAGCTGCACATGAAAGTGGGACATGTGAAATGCTGCACTGCCGACTAAAATGAAAGGCGCAAGATGGTAACGTAATCGTAACATATCGAAGCCTTGAATATGAGGCAGCAGACTTCCTCCTGAATAAGCTGACCTCTGGACAGATAAATGCCGATGTCTAGTTGTAGGAGATTTCAACGCACCATCAGTTGACTGGGATAGAGTGACAACGAAAGCACCACGTAATTCGTTTGACCACAGGTTAGTGGAAACATTAATTTCCTTAGCCCTCATACAGTACATTAGGATACCAACCAGGTATGATCATCAGCATGCTCATCAGTTCTAGACTTATTACTCCCACATACAGATGATGTAGGCTACATCCGGAACCTAGCACTCCTTGATAAAAGTGATTTATCTTCAGATTCACAGCAGATGTCTTGTACCAGGCTGATGCCCCAGCTAGACCCAACATATGGAAAGCGAATATGGAAGCTATTAACCTGGAAACCTCATTTGAAGCTACATGGCGTTACTTCAGAGAGGTATATGCACGAGTGACCCAACTGTTCAGGGGATGGAAACACCGTTCTCCGTCGACAAACCACGAAATCCAGATCTTGCTACGACGTAAGAAAAAGTGCTGGAGTCTTGCCACACACATCGGTACACCCAAAGTGAAGTATTACAAAGAAGCTCGCAATAAATGTATCGCTGCTATCCGCCGGTCTCGAATATGCCTTGGAGCACGTCTTGCCCAGGCTGCATTGCAACATCTGTAAAGGTTATCTCCCTATATGAACCATAGAAATAAGACGTGTTGTGGTATAACCGTCATAATCAATGGGACGGAAAATGACTGTTTGATTGAGGACGATAAGGAAAAAGCAGAAGCCATGGCTGGATGTTTTGTTGAGGTCTTCACACAGGAATCATCTGTGGACACTTACGCAACAGAATAAACTCTGTGTATGTCGATCGTAATGATGTATTTCGGACATAAAGTACTCTTGATGTGGAAAAATCAACAGGACAGGATGAACTGCACGAAATCCACTATGGCTGTCTACTCCGATGTAAAAATCAGGCGGGAAATTAGGAACGATGAGGATATATGTGCGCTTCAGGTAGACCCGAACAGCTTGTTTACCTGGTCAGAGAAGTGGCTTATGCCTATCAATGAAGGTAAATGTGTGAGCATGCAGCTGGGGCACACAGCAACACCTACGATATTGATGGGATTGATCTACCGTCAGTACTGACCCACAATAATCTAGGAGTCATAGTGAGTTATGACTTGAAAACCATGGCTCACTATCGATTGGTAGCAGCTCGGAGTTTTAGGACTCTCTGGGCACTACGTAGATCGTTTACGAAAATAAGTGGTGACATGTTCACCATATTATACACAGGCGGCTAGTTCTTGTCTGAAATGTGACGCAGACTTTTTAGAAAGAGTTCAAAGGATAGCCAGTCACATGATCCCAGCGATAGCTTGCCTCACCTATGAAGACCGACTCAATGAGCTGAACCTCTTCAGTTTGTTCTACCGCAGACAGAGGAGAGACCTAGTCATGCTATACAGGATTCCAAGAAACGACTACGCACCTGGTCTATCTTCTCTTTTCCTTTCCACTAGGTCGGAACATCTCAGAGGATATAGTAGGAGACTACAAAAGCAAAGAACGAACATGGTCTCCGCAGAGTACTGGTTCTCGCGTCGAGTAATCAACGCCTGGAAACGACTCCCAGAATAAGTGGTTCACATCGTCAATTGACTCGTTCAAAAGGGGGTTAGAAAAGCACAGTAATCTGCTGCAAAAGGATTAATATAGGCTCCCAGCCTCCTGTCCTCCAACAACAATTCTGAATCTCAAGGCGACCCTAGCAATTGCTGAGATAACTAGTAATACCTGTTTTGCGAAAACCTACCTATTCAGCCAGAATACCGGGACCTTACTGGTTATTTTAGCACTTGCCAGGGCGGCCACTAAAGTTACCCGAAGAATTCACTCCGTTTTCAAACCACCCACGTTAGGTCTCGGTATTTCTGTTTGCCATAACAACTACAAACTATGAACAGTGCCAACCCGAAAGTGAGAACTCCATATTATTTAGCAGCATATTGTTATTGGATTCGGCTCTCTTTGCAGACCAGAAGGAAGTGTACGATCTAGGTGGTCACAAAAGCTATAACTTCAAGACTCACTGATCTGTTAAAAATGACATCAATGTTATTCAGTGCAATCTTTTCACCAATTCTGTACAAAAACGCAGATAGTTCGGAGTCACGATTTCAAAACCAGTCACTTCTAGGACGATAAACTTCCGGACCTTGAGCAAGCCTTCTCCTGTACATATCTCTCAGATATGGACGAACAAATCGAGGTTTCCGAGCATAACGCACACCTAACATTTAAAATTCAAAATTAAAGAGGCACGTACTGGCCATTAGGATCGAGAAATTCCTCAGCAATCGAGACATAACGCAAAATGAAGACTGTTTAGTAAGTGACCTAGAGATTGAACCTCCAATGTTATCTTCAACTTCCAATATACAGTGTCTTTCAAACTCCAAACTCCGCATCGTAGAATTAGTGAACGATGGTTTCTTGGGTTGCATGTCTGTCTGATTAGTGTACTTCCTAAGTCTAAAATGGTCACAGTTGTCTTTCTGGTTCCGGAAGACCTAAAAGAAAAGGGATAATCGACTGTTAACTACTCTGGTCTCAAGTAACCTTCATTCTTCCTGGTCTGTCGACGAAAGAAAGCTTCTCGAGTGCATCAAATCGATTTCACAAGGCTCTAGATGAGCATTTAACCTCCTTCTAAAAGTATCAGGAGATAGGGATATAACAGTTGGCGTAAATGGAGGTAGGAAAAAACCAGTACGGTCACTGAGTCTCTTCTTGTTGTCATATCCCTGGAGCATACCTCCTCAGAGCTGGATTTGACTCCCACGTTTGGCAGGCGCCGGAAGCAAGGTTCGAAGCAGTGTAAGTGGATCAGAGTAGCTGGAAGTGAAACTTTAGGAAACGGCATCAAGCTTGGAAGAGTACCTAATTCTCTTCAGTCCAGCAGGAAGTCGAATCCTTTGTTGACCGATTACCCACACGCCAATGCAGAACACTATCTAAAAAGAATAGATCACAGTCTCACTATCGTTTTCGATGAATCCCTAGAGCAACTCCCACAGTTAACAACTCAGGTCCAGCGAGTCACTCCTAAAGAGTGTTCAGAAATCTGGGTCTACGTTCAAACGGGGGACCAAATCTCAAAGATCAGACTGCAGCCTTTATCTCAGGTTTCTCAAACTCTTGGTCTCTTTCTTGGTCTCGTATTACTGAGCATGTAATAAGCTTGAATAATTAGTGATTGGCCTTTGCATCTGTCAAGTGCATCCCACGACAGTTCCTAAAATGGTGAGCACGACGTGCTAACATATCCTGACCTATAAAAAATATTGAATTGGTGAGCCTGTTCCATTTTATATTTGTATATTGCTTTAACTTTGATAACCTTTATACATCCATATACAATTCGCCCTCATGTCCGACTATACTCCCAAGCTTATCCGTATTAGCCTGTCGACGAACACTATCCAACTATTGCCATACTGGCCAGACAAACCAGAAGCATGATTTCTGTATGCCGAGACAGATTTTCGAGAACAAGGAGTGGCAGATCCTCATTCTAGATTTTTCGCTGTCATACGTCTACTACCGCGCAAATTAAACAGGCACGTTCCCCGGAACTGTTACTCTTGAAACCACCAAAACCGGTGCAAACCGTTTCATTGACACTTTAGTCAGTTTCACTCGATGACCTAGCAGCATCATCGGACAAAAATGCTGGAGATCTCTGGTAGACCCGTCTCCAACGTATGTTATGTCTGCGATGAAGCCGAGAACCAGGATTCAGGAATGACCGGGCTGTGCAACTCTGTCTAACAGTTACTACGAACTTGAAGCCCTAGGTTTCGTAGCACATAACAGCAACGCACCTCAGCGCGTCGCAACCACTTGCGTGGTTGTCTAAAAACTAAACCTAATAGGGTTGAAAACCCTAAATGGTGCTGGTTTCATAATACTTACGGGGAAGAAGCCAGAAAATGCCGGAAACCATGCAGTTTCAACATGAACACAAAATCGGGAGACTGTCACACCGGCGCGCGTTCACGACAAACGTAGCTGGCGGAAGCAGCCGTTTGCTTTACGTCACAGATATAGAAACGAAAGTTCGCTACCTCTTCGACGTCGGCTAAGAAGTTAGCGTTCTTCCCGCACCGACGAAGGGTCGCCATCATGACCCATCCTTAGATCATCAAGCAGCTAACGGCAAGGCGATCACAACATTTGGGAGACGGTATGCATACCTCAACTCGGGTTGGCGTAAACCTATTGAATGGATCTTCCTCCTATCTGACGTTTGTATGCCCATTGTTGGCATAGATTTAATAAACCATTACGATCTACTGGTAGATGTTTGTTGTCGATGACTGATGGATAACAACACAAAGTTATCTATTAGCGGTACCACCAACGTAGGTCAGAGCTTAGCCATCGTTAGAACTAAAAAATCAGACAAGGCACCCCGTGAGGCAGTGTTGGAGAAATATCCAAAGTCCCATCTCGAGTTCAACATTGATAAATGTGGTTGGCTTGGCATAGGCAGCGATAACCTGGATGTCTCTCGAAGTATGTGGGCAAAAGCTACCTGGACTTTCTCCAGTGCTAGATCTCGGTCTTATATATTCCAGTGACTTAACATTCTCCGAGCAGACGGCTTGTATCACATCTAAGTCGCGTAGACTCCTTGGATGCACCGTCCGTAACTTTCATAGCACTGAATCATGGGTCCTACTCTAAAAAGTGAGCATCCGTCCAGTTTTAGAGTGCTGCCCGTTTATCTTAAGTGGCCTTCGTATAAGCGACGAAGTAAGAATTGAAGGAGTACAACGCCACCTTACACTAAGAACACTAGGAGCTGACTGCAGCCTAGACTACATCTCTAGATGCAGCATGATAGGACTGGAAACTCTCTGGAAGGGGCGACTTATAATGAATCTTGTATTGCATTATAAATTGCTTCGTAATCAAGTGCACTCATCTGGCCCGGAAATTAAAATAGTTGTAACATCCACTCACCATTTGCGTAATCACAATTTATTAGCGGAAAGTGAGTGTTGTAAGACCAAATTGCGAAGAAACTTCTTTATCAATAAGTTCTCTGACATCTGGAATAGACTTCCTGTCGAAACACGTACCGCAGGTTCATTATCTAACTTTCGTTCTGCACTTAATAAGCTCCTAACAGATGATTAGTCTATCACTCGCCTAGGCACTATATATACGTCCTGAGCTAATGAAAGCATACTAGGACCTCTGAACGTGTAGAGTAAAGCTATCACAAATCTCAAGTACTTTTTGCCTCAATGGACACATGGAGGGTGTTTGATTACTAGTTCATCTGGTCGGATTGTGCGGTACAAATACGTAACCGGTGTTCCTTTTAAGTTTACCGACAAAAACTGCATACCTAATAACTAGCGTGAACTTCGTGTGAAAGAAGAAAGAAAAATTCACTCCCATACGAATAAATTAAAGTTTACATACAGTTGACTTTAAAAAGACAAGAACTTCACTCCTCCCAGTTTGTTTTACGTGGTATTCCATTGTCCATTTCCTCCTTGAGCTTTCTCTTCTCTTCTCTTTCCAGTATCAGCCTGACGAGAAAGTCCTAAGCATTGGTTCGACCAAAAAGTATCAACTTACTGGAAATCCTGCCTCCTACCTAATACTGGATACTGATGTTGGAAGTATCCCACTGGCTCGCCCCAATTTTCCTGTTTCTTAAACAGCTTCACAACCAACTCATTTACCTATCAGTACCCTAAATGCTATCACATACGAAACCCCAAGCGCAATAACCGGTCTTCAATTTCTGGTCCGTGACAAATGCAGCGGAAATCTGGATGAACAATCCAACCCGAGAGATCACGTTGCCTAACGGCAACGCATCCATGATAACGCTATGCAACAGACTCCCCCAGTACTTTGCCCTGTATCAATCCACCTAATAGAAGTCGATTAACAGCCAATGTATCTCCTTGACGACGTTGCATACTTTAATGTGAAGTCTATGAAGTTGCACACACGTGTAATATTCGCCACTGTTGAACGACGATGCCTCCAGTCCTTAATTACTTGCACCACAACAAATGTTTCCAGTACTACCAATCTGAATTCCTGGAAAAGGTAACACTTAAAGAGTGGCAACCCAATCAGCCAAAAAACGGGAAAATTGTTCTAATTATAGTAAAATGAGTGAGAAATAAGGGGAAGCCTCCATGTTTAAATAAAGCGACATCAGTGGGGAAATGCAACCGATTGCCCCTTCTTAGTCGCTTTCTCCCACCAAGAGTCGCCTTCCTATCTAGACCTTGTCCACTTTGCCTTATTGATTTCGCATAATTTCCCATTAATTATCGATTTTTCTCCTTCATTCGGCACAATTTCCCCTTAATTATCGACTGACCCAGTTCAGTCTATATAAAACACACTTAATTTTTGGAGTGGTCCTATCACTTCCAGTTGGATTCCAGCTCATGATGCACAAACAGAAGAAATAGGAAAATTTTATTGAATTTAATATATTTAACATAATTTGAAACACATTTCTGACAGACAAATGCTTGTTTTAATTTAATCTTGCGATTGTTATTTTCTTACACGAAAGCAACCCGGTTGTTGTGGAGGTAAAGAATAGGAATGATAAACGTCATTAATTTTGAAGGCTATTTTTTTAAAAAGATGGTTAACTGGGAATAGCTCACCATGTTTGTGGCCTCGGCCTCATTTGAAATCCCGCTATCGGTCTTTAATTGCAATAAATACGCAAAGAATGAAATGTAAATGAAAGGAGGGAGAATGGTAAACGACATTTATATTGAAGGTTATGGTCAATAAATTGGGATTTCGGCGAAACCGACGATGTTTATTGTTTCTGTCTCCGTCAGCATTCCGATATTTTTTGTAAATGAAAGAAATAAGTTGATGTATGCGTATATATATATATATATATATATCAATGGACATTGGAATGTATATGCAGTTTAAAGTATGGTAATGCTTACTTTTCGTATGGACTTCGATGGAAGCGTAGGGTACAGCAGTTTCTTAATGTTATTACTAATAAGTAGGCAGTGATAAATACCGCTAGCACTCGTTCCGGCGTGCAGTTCCACCGCAGTTGAAATGAGGTTGCAATTAACTGCTTCGATCATGTCCACACGTTCTTCAGTAACACCTAAGCATTTCTCATCATAAAATAAGCTAGTTTACAAGTTCCGAAAACAATTTCTACATCCAGAATTGATTTCTTTATACACCTCTCGGGCTCATTCAAAATAGCTTTATATATTCGTTTACATCGTCTGTAAAACGTAGACCGGTGACAAGGCACACGCTTCTGTAACAAGGCGGCTCTCAATTTCTCAACGAAAGATGGGTCCTCAAATTCAGGATACTATTATATTATAACATAAAACGCAATAGACGAGAACACGCCACTCACCTCCATGATACGCGTTGCGATAATGTTTGGCGC